AAGTGCGGCGGCGCTCCCGCCGAGGGTTCGGATCCCACATACAGACCGGCCGCTCACTGGCTGAGCGAGGAGCGGGGGCAACACCGAGGGTTGCGATCCCGTAGCCGGTCCCGGTCCAGTACGGGCGCGACACTGAGGGTTGCGATCCGTTGCCGGTCACGAAAAAAGACAAAAAAAAAAAAAAAAAAGAAGCTTTAGACGATGTGATGTGTCTTTATAGAATCAGCGTTGGTAGGTGAGACCTACTTTCCTCTTCTTTTTTGTTAGCGGACTGTGAGCACACCTGATGCTGAGGGGGACCCAGGAGCATCAGGATTCAAAACTCTGGTCACAGTGTAAGATGTTCTTCAAGGGGGCTGAATGGGGATAAGTGTTTACTTCTGATGATCTCTAGAAACACAGCCCTCCCCAAATTCAGCAAGATACTGCAGACCGTCAGCTCAGCAGTTCTCAGGAGAGCAGGTTAAGCCAGATCTCCTGGCCAGGCCCGGAGTGTCTGACTGGGGTCCACAGGTCACAGTGAGCAGAGACTCTGCACCCCTAATAGCCCTGAGCCCACTTTGGGGCCCCTGCATTAGATGTAAGAGGAGGAGATGGGACAGGTGGGTAGGAAAAGATAAGATGAAGTCTGTCTTTCCAAGACACTCCTGAGCTTCTCAACTCAGGAGCCTGTCAGAGCTCGATCCTTTTCTCCCCTTCACATGGACCTTGCAGAGGCTGCCTGGGATGTCCAGGGAAATGACCTTGAGCAGGTCCCAGAGGAGCCAGCTCCCCACCACATCTGTGACCAACACTCACTCGCTGGCAAACTGCCGGGCCTCCTGCAGCCTCTGCAGCTCTTGGGGCAGCAAGGTCTGGAAGTGTTTCCTCCACCAACTGCACAGCACTGGCTCCAGGCGTGGCCACCACATCTCACGGACAAAGACCACCAGGATTAGGGGTGGCTGCATCTAGACGCATCTCCAGTTGCCACAACCAAGAAGACATGGAAGCCTCCAGTGGCCACTGAAGATGTCCTGCGGCTCACACCCCCCAAGCCCCTCTGCAGGCCACCAGCACAGGTCACACCCACCGGTGACATTGTAACTTCAGAGACAGTATCGCATTTGCCTCGTTTAAGGGTCAAAGCAATTCCATGAGGCATCCTTACACTCCCTGATGGGAGCAGACACAAATGTGGGAGAAGGGAGGTTGGTCACATGCCCCTGGACTGGGCTTGCCTAACCCTCACCCCCTGCTGAGAGCTGGTGTTTTATTTATTTAATTTTTTTTTTTGGCAGCTGGTTGGTACAGGGGGGATTGAACCCCATACCTTGGTGTTATCAGCACCAAGGTCTAACCCACTGAGCTAACCAGCTAGCCCCTTAATTTCAATTATTTATTTTAGATGTTTTAAACACAGAATAGCTCATTTACAGTGAATTCCACCTAACTGAGCAGCAAACTAGGTGAAATGCCACAGCTGCTGAGGGGGCTCTCTGGGGAAAGTGCTGCATTAAAGGAAATGGACCTCGAGTCCCCTGGCCAGTTAGTGTTCAGTGTTCTACCTGACAACACGGAGAAGGAAGCAAGACAACTGCATGTACTCAGGACTCTGAGGAAGCTCACGGCAGCCCAAGGACCCTGCTCCCTCTCCTCCCACACCCTGGACCCCAAAATGTCAGATCAATCAGCAGGAAGCTGAGGTGGCCCCTCTGTTCCCAAATCCTAAGACTGCGTGAAGGACACAGTCCTGGGGGCTGAGTGCTCCTACTCCTGCTGTGCACTGACCTGCTCTATCTATCGCTCACTCTTCCTGACACATCTTCTCTTGAATTGTAACTAGGATGGTTAGCAAAAGCTGCTGAGAAGCCCTGCGTGGCCACAGAGACCCCCGACTCGTTGCAGAAACATCTCCCAAGAAGCCGGCGGACCTACCAGAGCAGAGGTCAAAATCAAGGGGCATTTGGTCTGGCACTCAGTCAGGGTCATGTTGGCTGTCAGGGAGGGGTCTCTGCTATGTAAACAGGCATTCAGGAGCCCCTGCAGATGAGAACACTCCAGAAGCTCAGCGGTTTGCCATATCCCATGCTCCAGCACCCGTGAGGAAACAGGGCCTGAAAGACATCCTCACTTCAAAAGCACCACCCGGATATGTAGACCCACCCACGGGTTCCGAGAGGCCATGATGGAGGTGCCGAGGGATGGGTTACCCTGAAGAAGTGGATGGTGATGTCGTGGGTCAGGACGCCTCCATGGGAGAAGTTTCTCTGCAAAACAGTGAGCGGACTGAGTTGTGAAGGAAACAGTAAAGGTTAGTGCCACCCTCACCAGGACCCACTGACCACAGGGGCCAGCCCAGACATGTGCTCCAGGCCTTCCCTGCTCACTGCCTCACCAGATACGGCCCCTTAAAGGCTTCTCGGTGTGACTAGGTCCCCAGCACGGCACGGGAGCTGGGGATGTGCCTGACGGAGGGTCTACAGTGGAGGATGACAAGGGCAGCTCTCTGCTTCCTCTGTCCTTTGCTAACCAAGCCTGTCCTGCACGCGTCCCACCTGGCTGCTCTCACACGCGTTCTGAGAGAGCTTTGAGAAGCTCAACCTTCAGTAGGAACTTAAAGAGAATCATGAGTGATTTCTAAAGCTTTCAAGTCATCTCACTTCCTCTGTTTTCCTGTCACCTTTTAAAGTGCCACACAACTGAAACGGAACCTTAGTTCAATCTTTAGTCATAACTGCATATTTTAAAATAAGAAACAGGTTTTTAGGAGTAAAAGCTGCTCCCTTAGAGCAGAAGGAGCCATTGTCTCCCTGATCCTGACACACTCACATCTACAACTGCCACCATTTGGTTAAGAACATGCAACCTGGTCTGGGCAGTATCTGAATGGGAACAGGGCTGCCCAGCAGGTGGCAGTGGTCGTAAGATCACATGGCTTTTGTACATGTGAAACATGTCAAAATTGGACAGAAATGCATGGAGGCTTGGCAAGCAGAGTGGTCTGCAAAATTCCATGGGTCAGAACATCAAGATTTGAAGGGAAATCTGAAAAGGAACTTGAGCTCTGGAGAAAATCGTCTGCAGCTGTCCTGCCGTGGCTGAGGGCCCTGCCAGCACGAGCATGCTTTCTCTTGCAGGACTTGCTGGGCATCACTTTCCACTGGCTGTCCACTGCTTTCCTTGGTAATCCCCATGGCAGGACACACACAGAGGTTGCAGGAGCTATGGTCAGCACCCCAGCCAACACCCCCTCTTCCTGTGTCCCCTCAGTTGGGTTGACACACACGGCTGGCACTTACCAGCTCAGAGTTGACCAGGTGGAAGAACTCCTCGCAGCTGGGAGTGGTGGGCTGTCTGGCCTGGAAGCTGCTGACGAGCACAGATGGAGGCATGCAGAGGAGGATCCTTGGAGAGAAGGGGCCATGTCAATAGTGCAGGCACACACACGTCGCTCCTGCCCAAGGCTCAGACTCTCAGCAGCACAACCCTCCTGGAATCCTCAAGCCAGTGGGGCTGTTGGAACCAGAGTCACTGGTCTGCAGCTGCTGCCCCCGCCCCAATAAGTATCTGTGCCCAGCCTGTGCATGGCGCTTGCCTGCTACAGACACTCAAAATGTGTTACCAACAAACCATTTTTGACAGTTGCATAATCACCAGTAGCAGGAAGCAGCAACATCTGATGGGGTGATTCCCTGTGACTGGGGAACCGCATCATTTCACACTCTTTATTATAAGTATGGCTGCAATTAACATCTTTAGCACACAGTTTTCCTTATTTCGACATGAGTTCCTTATGCTACATCCTTCAACAGAGGGATTCCCGAGTCTGAACAGGAAGATTATAATCCAAAGCACCTTTGAAACCTCCAGACCTTGCTGTCCATGGGAACTACCAAGGACAAGGAACCACTACACTCTTGGGGTTGGGGAGGGGAGGAAACCTCGACGTGAAGACAAACCCTGGGGTGAGGTGCCAAGAGGAGGCCGTGCCCAGGCGTGTTACCGTTTGTACATGAGCAGCTCCCGCTGTCTCTGCAGGCTGGCGGCCACACCCCACCCACTTGCCAGAGCCTGGAGCCGTCTGCGAAAAACCCCAAAGAGGAAGTGCCCCTGAGAAGGGGAGCGGCCGTGTGGGGCCCCTGGGCCTTGCTCCAACTCCAGCTCAACAGCCATCTCCTGGAAAAGAGCGAGACCAAGACATTTCCCAGTGTGCGTCCCATCCCCAGCGTGGAGGCAGACAAGTCCTCAGGGATTACTGTGCAGCCCCCATCAGGGACCAACAGACACTCGGGAGAGGGCTCTCCACCAAGAAGGACGAGTGGGCCCAGTTTTACTTAGAAATCATTTTAAAATTGCAGAAATAAAAGCGTAGAGAAAGGAATGCCCACATGCCCTTCACCCAGGTTCATTATGGCTAACATTTTATGCTGATGATCAGTTTTGCTCTCTCTACGCATGTAGGTAGGTGTGTGCACAAGGGAAATTTCCTCCTGAACAATCTGAGGGTGAATCACGTACATAAGGTCCTTGACCTCAAACACATCCAAGTGCATTTCCTCAGGCTGGTTTGACTCTGTCACCGTAGCATGGCCACAATTCTGCCTGCCCTGACAGCTGCTGAACAACTGGGCTCTCCACAGAGGGCCGGGTGGGCATCCCACTGTCAGAGCTGGTGAGCTTTCTTTGTTTTGGAACATTTCCACAGACACTCTGTTTTTTATGACATTGACATATCTGCTCAAAATAATTGTGAACTCCACTTTGGAACTACATTCAGAATCTTGTGTCCTACTCCTTTAAATATTTTTAATGATGGCAAACACTTGTCTTCCAAGGACGAGTGTGATCTTCAGAGCCCAGTCTGGAGAGCCACATCACGACAGACACCACGGGCTGAAGCTCTGGACTGGCGTCCGTGCCGTCTGCATTCACCTCATCCTCCTGCATCCTCAGGGTCCAGCCCAGCATGGTGGCATGGAGGTGGGCTCTGAGCGCTCTAGCAATGCACCCATCAGCAGATGCTGTCTCTGCCTTCTGGCATGTTGCTGCTCCTGGAAGCTTCCACAGAACCTGATCGAGGCTGCATTTGCCACCCACAGGCTGGGCCATCGCAGCTTTTATCCCACTGCGTGAAATTCAACGTCTGAGCTGGCTGGAGAACACACTCGTGGGACCCCTCTGTGCCCACTGCAGATCCCGGCACAATACCTTCAGGTGGGAGACTGCAACAGCAAACACGGAATCCTGACTTCATGGGCAAGACACTGAGGAAACATGGTACCTGAGCCCACTGCCCAGGCTGTGGGCATGCCGCAGAGCAAGACAGAGCAGGGAGGATGGCACAGGTTGGCACGTGCACAGCAGGCACTCAGTCCATGTCTGCTGACACACACATGCAGTCTACCTGTGCAAGCGTGGATGCAGCAACAGCATGCACACACGCCTGCATCCAACCACAGCCTGTGTGACCTCAAAGCCCCACTCTGTGGGCACGGAGCTGCGTCTGCCTTCTGCCTCCTTCCGATATCCGTAAAGATGGATGTGGAGGACAAAAGGTCAAGGTGGGGGGTCAGGGGTCTTGGGTCTCTTTTTTTGTGGTAAGTTTTACTCATTTGTAAGTAAATTTTCCCAGTACGCAAAACACACCCTATGGCTTCTCTCCCACTGTCCGCATGTTCTGAACTCAGGCACTTTAAGAGTGGCAGCAGAGAAACCACCAGGAAACACAAAGCCTCAGGTATAATCATGTAAAATAAACCTTCATGTACTCTTCCAAAGGCCAGACTCGGGCGTACACAGAGGACCTGGGGGGGCCTCCATGGGCACCTGGCTCCTAAGTGACCCCAGAGCTCACCTGAAAGATGGAGGGGCAGGATGTGAGCTGAGAATGCCTTTGTGTTTAAGCTCGAATACCACGGGCTCCCTGTGCTTCTGACAGGGTGTGAGCACCAGACAGCCACAAGCTGCCTATCGGCCCGTGAAGCACAAAAGTCCCCCAGCCTTCGAGTGCTGGGTCACCAATGTTACCTTCTCAGCAACATCCAAGTGGAGCAGCCAAGAGTTAAAAAGTAGAAAATGGTGAAGTAACAATTTTACCACCAAAGTTGGTATTTCCTTAATTTCCTCTATTTTCACATTTTAAGTGTCCCCAAAATTAGAGATGCTTACAGCATTACGGCTTTTGTTTCTGTGCTTTTGTGATGTTCACCTGTGGAGTAAATTCACAGAGCACACTGGTGCTCTGGATCTCAGCCACTGCACAGATGATGTGAGTTTTCATTTTGCTTGGTTGTGTTAGAAACTGTTATGGAAACTGAGAATAAATATTTTAGTAGCAGGTGGCTTAAATGCAGTGGACATACTGAGTTATGGCATCCTCCAACTCACCTGCAATCTGCAAAGAATATCCCGATTTCCTGTGCGGCTACCAAGGACCAAGTCAGAACTCTCTGAGTGGTCATAACTCCTTGAACTGAAATGAAAATATGTAAAAGCCTCCTCAGTATTTCCTAACTGTGCTGGAGTTCCCAGTTATCCTCCTGCCTCCAGTGGGGTGACCACTGTGCTTTTCCAATGGCATGACACACAGTAACCAACAAAAAACCAACAAAATCTTCACCAAAATATCAGCAACCCAAATGCAGCAAATATTAAATGAATTATGTACCACCAACAAGTAGAATTTATCCCAAGAATGATAGGTTGGTTTAACATCCAAAAATATAATGCACTTACCAATAAAATAAAAAATGAAAATCACCTGATCATCTCAATAGATGCAGACAAAGCATTAGACAAGATTTTATACTCTTTCATGATAAAAACACTCGAGATGTAATAAAAGAGAATTTTCTCATTCTGATACAGGGCATCTGTGAAGAACCCACAGCTAACATCATACTTAGTGATGAAAGACTGAAAGCTTTTCCCCTGAGAACAGGAACAAGAAAAAGATGTCCTTTCTCACCACCTCCATTCAAACTGTACTGGAAGTTCTAGCCAGGGTAATTCACAAGAAAAGGAAATAAAAGACATCTGGATTAAAAAGGTAAGTTAAACTATCTCTACTCACAGATGATATGACCTTATATATAGAAAACCCTAAAGAATCCACACAAGAAAGCTGTTAGAGCTAATAACTGAGTTCAGTGAATCAATATATAAAAATCAATTGTATTTCTAAACACTAGCAATCAATAATGAAAAATGAAATTAAGGCAATAGTTCCATTTACAATACCATTGAACAGGATAAAACATTTAGGAATAAATTTAACCACAGAGGTATAAGACTTGTACACTGATTGCTTAAAGAAATTATAGAGGGAAAAAAAAGAGAAAGAAGACCTAAAAAACTGGAAAGACATCACATGTTCATAGATAGGAAGACTTAATATTAAGATGGCAATACCACCCAAATTCATCTAAAGACTACATGGAATTCCTACGAGGCGGCCAGCCAGCTTTGTAGAACTGACAGGCTGATCCTAAAGTTCAGATGGGAGTGCAAAGAACCCAGAAGCATATTAATCCTGAAAAAGAATAAAGTTGAGGACTCACATTTCCCAGATTTCAAAACCTACTAAAAAACTACAGTAATCAAAATAATGCAGTACTGCCATACAGAGGCACATAGACCAATGGAGCAGAATTTACAGTCCATGAATATATCCTCACATGAATGGTCAACTGATTTTAAGGCTGGGCAAGTGCAATGGTGAGAAAGGGGAAGAGTAGAACAAGGGGTTCGACCTGCACTGACTATGAAGTCACCTGAGATGAAAGTCCACAGGCCAAGGCCATTCAATGGGAAAGGGGTCTTTCCAACTATCGGTGCCAGGACAGCTGGCTATCTCCATGTAAAAGAGTGAAGGTGGACCTATCTCATGCTACACACAAAATAACTCAAAGTGGATCAAAAACTTCAATGTAAGAGCTAAAACTAAAAGCAGACAGATTGGATTCCATGAAAATTTTAAACTTTTATATATCAAAGAACACTATCAAGGGAGTGAAAAGATAACCCACATAATGAAAGAAACTATTTACAAGTCATACAAATAGCCTGTATCTGGAATGTGTGAAGAACTCCCACAACTCAATAAGTAACCTAATTTTAAAATGGGCAAAGGGTGCAAATGGGCCTTTCTCCAAAGAAGACGTATAGATGGTCAACAAGCACACAGAACGACACTCCATACCATTAACCACCAGGGAAATGCAAATCACAGCCACAATGAAACAGCACTTCATACCCACTAGGATGCTACTATCAAAAAGTCAGGACATCCAGGCAAGCTACAGAGCCAGCCTGATGCCCAGGGGGTCCTGGGCCTTGGCCCTGGCCCCACCTGCAACCAGATCCTAGAGCGTACTTATCAACCATGGGAGTTTCCTTGGGACTTTGAGGTGTGTGACTTATCTGTTCATGTCGTTCACCAAACTACTGCTTAGACTTTTCTAATTCATTTTTAAGAGTTCCTTTTGCAACAAGGATGTTAATCTTTATGTGTTTAAAAAAAGAAAAGTAGAGAGTAGAATAATACTTACCAGAGGCTGGGAGGGGCGGGGGAAGATTAGGGGTGAACTAATGGGGACAAAAAACTATGCTATCTACCCTAAGTGAATCCCTGTGCAAGATATGTGTGTATTGAAACAACACACTGTACCTCACAAAAATAAATAACATTGAATTTAAAAAAGTCAGATAACAACAACAATACACTGTAGGCAATGATGTGGAGAAATCAGAACCTTCCTGTACTGCCAGTGGGAATGTAAGGTGGTACAGCCAGTCCCGGAAGAGCCTGACAGTTCCTCAAAAAATTAAACACAGAATTACCATATTACCTAGCAGTTCCACTCCTATGCATATTCCCAAGGAAAATGAAAACGTAGGCCCATACAAAAACCTGCACACAAATGTTCACAGCAGCATTATTCACAATAGCCAAAAAGTAGAAACAACCCAATGACATACTTAAAAGCAAGGTGTTTTTGGCATTTGCACTGCTAACCTTTGGTAGAAGTCCAGTAGCACATCGACAAGAACCGTGCAGGCAGCTTCCAGGTCTCCCTCACAGCCCCCAGAAGCAGCGGGTGCAGGCAGGAAGTGCTCGTGGATCGCCCACTGGTGGAAGTCCCATCTGCAACGACGAAAACTGAGGTCAACTCTGAGAGGTGCTTCACAGCTCGGAGCTCCCCACAACCTGGAAGTAAGCCTTTCAGTGAGGAGCACAGCACACAGCACTGCAGATGCTGGGGTTGGCAGGGTTGGAACACCAATGGCTTGTGGCCTGGAGATGCGGGAAAGGCCCAGTCTCAGGGGCAACCTCTGTTACCAGTCAAAGCCCATGTAGGGTGTCATCTCACTGGGCCAGTGAATGGGATGGGCAGCTAGTTACACAAATGCAGGCCAAGAAGTCACCCAGGATGTATGAACTACTACTACAACTACTGTCCCCTTAGCACCCCTCACATGCCCAGGACAGCATGTCTAACCTCTCCCCAGTCTCATTAATCCAGTTCCTGGTGCCCCACAAAAGCCAGCACTTCTCCACAGAGCATGCCCCACTGGCCACTGCACCCCACCCTGCATCACACCCACCTTCTCTGCTCCTCCCCCACCTGGTCACTCGTGGCCCACTCAGCTGCTGGTGTCTTCAGAAGGTCTGTCCCCACCTTTAACCCATTCTCCTGTGTCCACCTGCTTGATGCCTGGGCCACACACAGGTGCACAGTCCCCTGACGAGAGCCCAGTTGGGGGGTGGGGGACCCTGTGTGAGCCTCATCTGCCCTAATCTGTATAAAGGTGCCATGTGGAAGGGACTATCTTGTCCACGCTGCATGCTCAGTTTCTAGAACATTCTAGAAGTGTCTGAGACAGCAGAAGCTCAATAAACGTTTCTCGAGTAAAGAATAAATAATTGAAATTGTGCTCAAAGGTCATACAGTTAAACCAAACATCAAATTGGGGACATAACGATGAACACAGACTTTAAGACACTGTAGAAAACTGTGTATAACGTTTAAAAGGGCAGCTCCCTTTAAACACTTACCTCTCTGTATCTGAAAGACCATCAGCTTCAGGCTGCACGTCCAGTTCCAGCTGTAACCAGTCTCTGTAAGTTAGCTGAGAGAAGAGGAGCGACTTTGCACCACAAGGACAGCACACACACATCAGACGTCTGACAAAGATCTGTGTCCGTGTCATAATGACATTGCAGTGAAGTGAAAGAGACTCACAGGAAGGAAACCATCCTTATTTTCTGTCAAGAATAATTCCTATTCTTGGGCCGGCCCAGTGGCGCACTGGAGAGTGCGCCGCTTGGGAGCGCAGCGGCGCTCCTGCCGAGGGTTCGGATCCCATGTGGAGACCGGTTCCCACTCACTGGCTGAGTGTGGTGCGGGCGCAACACTGAGGGTTGTGATCCCGTTACCGGTCAGTAAAAAAGACAAAAAGGAAAAAAAAAATGAATAATTCCTATTCTTATGCCATTTCCCTACCATGAAACGCCAGCACCAAGACGTTAGTGCTGTACCACCTTTTCCATGTGTAAAAAGGCCACTTTCATGGAATGCGTTTCACAGTAAGCCCTGAGAAGTGGAGAACTGATGTGCTGCTTATTAACTCTGAAGCTAACTAAAGCTGTTCAGATTGGTGCTTCTAAGTTAAATTCTCTGGCACACTGCCTAGTTTCAGACAGTTAACCTGTGGCATCTACAACAGTGCTGCCTGTTAGATTACTGTATAGCAGCACCAGGAAAGAAAATAACCAAAGAATATATTTTGACATAATAAACAACATGCTTCAAAACTCATGGTAGCATATTTTTTGTTTGAAAATTCTTAGAACAGTTTCACAAAGTAACATTGAATAATCTCAAAACTTCACACTGTGGGGGAAAAAACACGTCATGGAAACATTTGTGCAACAGTCTTCCATTTGGGTAAAGCCCAAGGCAGAGTGAAAATTCTTAGAACAGTTTCACAAAGTAACATTGAATAATCTCAAAACTTCACACTGTGGGGAAAAAAACACGTCATGGAAACATTTGTGCAACAGTCTTCCATTTGGGTAAAGCCCAAGGCAGACACGATCTCTGCTCAGGGACACGCACATCACCCACGGCACAACCAAGGAGAGAGGCTGCGACTGCCCCACAGACAGGACCGGCCCTCGAGGTGCTGGTGGGCGGCAGCGGTGCTGCCCCCTTCAGTGCTTACACTGGACAATGTCGGGCCTACTCTGGTATAACTGATACAGCCAACAATAAAAGAAAAGATGTAATCAAAGAATCTTCACATTATTTTCCTAAAGACCAAAACAAACACCCTAGGAAATACATCAGGAACAAGGTAACGTCAGGTGTGGGGGGGGGTTGGGGGCGAGTTTAGAGAGCCGAGACCCCATCATGGAGCCCAGCACGCGTGTTTAAAATACATCCTTATCCATCTTTCAAATTTTCTACAAAAATTTACTGTTGGGAGAAATTGGGCAAAGGGTAGCAGAGTCCTGTTTGTTTCTTAAAGCTGCACTTGAAGCCATAATTATCTCAATAAAGATTTCAAGTTCAAGGTCCAGGGTTCAATCCCTGCTGGCCAGCCGCCAAAAAAAAGAAAAAGATTACTCCTCACACACAAACCTGAGGATCAGGATGTGAAGTGACACGTGGGAAGGGATGGCAGACCTACGTGAAAGTCTTTCTCCCTCAACAGCTCTTGGAAGGTCCTCTGTCTCCACACGGAGAGGGCGGCTCGCTGCCAGTCTGCCGAGGGAAGGAGCGTGGGTCTCCAGGGAAGGCCAGCTGCGTCCTCCTGAGAAAGAGGTTCTCGGGCCTCTGAGAACAGCCTGAGCACGATGAACTGAAACTGAACAGACAGTGGCACGATTGTCGTGAGAGGCTGAGAACACGTTCAGGTGGAGACAGCCTCACCACACATAGGACGCCATGGCGAGGCGAGCTCACCCCAGCCCCTCAGCATCTCGGTGAACAGCCCCATGTGTCTCTGTCTCTGATCGTCTCCTTGGGCTGAATGCCTAGAAGCACAGAATTGATGAATCAAAACTGCCCTCCAGAGGGTGCTGCTGGTCTAGGCCTGCTGCAGTGAATACACCTGTCACCTCTCAGCCTTTGCCAGTATGGGTGTTCTCACTAAGAGTGTGCCAACTGGATAAGCAAAGTGTGACATCAGTGACACATTAACTAGCATGTCTTTGCCTCTTAGAAATATTAGACTTTCTTTCCACATGTAATGAGACCTCAGCTGCTCAAGGACCATAGCCCTGACCAGCAAGACCGGCAAGCCCAGCACAGCCTCTCCCAATCTCCTTTCACACCTTTAAAAACGTGGCACCTGGGACTAAGTTCCTCAAAGTAAATGACTGGGAAGCACAGGTGCAGCCTGGTCCCCTGGGGCTGCTCCCCAATTCTGACTTATCTGGGCAGGGCCCAGGAATCTGTACTTTCCAAAAGCTTCTCCGCTGATTCTGTGTGAAGCCTGCAACTGAAAACCACTGTTTTATGCACAAGAGATGTTCATCAAAACTCTGCAAAAGGAAAACACAGGTTCATAATTTAACTTTACCTTTGTTTCTGACATTTCGGGCTTCTAACATTCATCTTCAAATTTCTCTGTCCTTCTGACACATGTAACAAGCACTTACTAGATAAGGGAAATTAGAATTCTTTAAATGGGAAGATACTTTTTATGAATACCTACCTTTTAATTTATCTATCTCATAAATATCGGTGTCTTTTTCTTTAAGGGGGGCACACTTGCAGTTGTCATCTTATGCCCCCGATTTAAACTCAGAGAACAGAAGGAAAAGGCAGCCTCTGAGAGAGAGCACAATCCATCGAAACGGCTAAGATCAACACAGAGGTGGCAGAAGACCCCTGCTTTCTGGATAGAAAGCTGCATAAACCTGAGACATACAAAAGAACAGAAAAATAGGAAGCTAATAGACCTACCTTTTTTACAAGGCCTGGAGATAAACAGCTGTATAAAATATCATTTTTCTGGGAAGAAAACTTGCACAAAGAATAAGAAATTGCTGCTGTACAAAATCTGAAAATAGAAAATAGAAATTACAATGTAGAAATGTGATCCATACAAAATAAGGGACAAGAAAAATAAGTTTGAATTTCACAAAACTGAATTTGGCCAATTCTAAACAGGATGAGACTCAGTCCTTGGTTTAGAAAAACCTCCACGCATCCTCAGTGATAAGCTCAGCCACCTCTCCTGAGATAGGGACACGCGTGCACATGTGGGGACAGCCATACCCAGACACACAAGGAATGTCAGGAGGAGTGTGTGCATGCGTGTGTGTGTGCATTGCATGTGCGGTGCAGGGAATACTCTGATGGGAGGCACGCAGACACCTGCAGCCTGGTGTGTGCATCTGTGTAACAATGTGAGCAGCAGCTGCAGAAGTGCAGAGAGAAAAGCGTGCTCAGCATATTTGAGGGGTGATTGTGTGTGCACAGGCAAGTAAATGTAACTTCAATTGTAACTTTGTAAATCGAGTTCAACCACCTCTGTAGCTTTTGCCTGTCTATCTGTGACAGGCTCTGAGGTGTATAAAGGGAAAAGATGAACAGAAACTGACCCTGGGGACCAGGAAAAGGCACACAGGAGGCCCCTTCACAACCACCCTAACATGCCCATGAGCATCAGAGGGCAAAACAGGATAACCCATGCGTTAAAAAAATAAAAATGGCAATACCCATGTGAAAAATCAATTCTCGTTAGTAAGCAGGGCACACTGGAATGAGATTTCCCAAGGCAGAGATGACTTTAAAATGATTCCCAGTAGGAAGTCACTGCTGTGACATTCCTATTTAGTGTCCTAGTGTTTCTTCTTACAAATACAGAGACACATTTTACCCTCCCCTCTCACTTCCTAAGAAGAAGCATCCCAGATACAGAGTTTAGCGTTTTGCTCTCTTTGCTCGACAGTGTATCTTGAGGTGCCTCACGTTAGCAAGAGGAGATGGCCTCCTCACCTTCCTGCAGTTGTTGGCATTGCACTAGCAATGGGTGCTTTCTCTCCAGCCTCCCGTAATCACAAAAAGGCTGACATGGAGGCCCTGAGCAGTCTGGGCTCTCACCAGGAAGGTGCCTCGGGCTGACTCCCAGTGGGGGCTGCTGTTGTGTCCAAAGGTTCATGAGGGGCTGTGTCCAGCACCTGCTTCCCTCAGGCCCACATATGGCCCTCGGCTCTGTCTACACTTTTATGCCTTTTCTCAGTTCTCCACTAATGAATGGACCGCACATCTATCGGTGCCTCCGTCCAGACCGTCCTCACTCTGACTGCCTACCTGCCCCCCCAGGGTCTCTCGGATGTTGCTATGATGCTCTGGCTCTCACCACAGCCCTCCCCCCCAGCTACCTGGGCCAAACTCTGCCCAAGGAATACGGGTGCTGATCCCCAGGATCTCCACAGCTGCAAGCCTGGCCACTAACAGCTGCCATAGGAGTGTCCTGCCTTCTGTCCTGACCTGTTCTCTCACCGCAGCAGCCACAGGGAACCCTTCAGACCCAAGTCATCCCACAGCTAGACCCCTAAATGGCTGCTCAGCACCCACCCACTCCCAGCATGGGCCATGCTGGCATGCTCCACACTCACTGCCAACTCTCTGGGTGTCCCCTGCAGAGAAGGGAAACTCCCCAGAGGCAGGGACAGGGCTTGGCACACAGCAGTGCTCAAGGAAGGCATAGGCAGTGAGTGGTGGGGCGTGCCTGGCGTGCAGAGAGGGGTGGGGTGTGGCTGGCGTGTGGTGGGACGTGGCTGGCGTGTGGTGGCAGTGCTCAGATGAAAGATTTTACAACCCCGTGAGATGAGTTTACTTTCTGACAGTGTAGTGCCCTTGGAGCTCACCCTACAGAGAGTCAGACGTGTGTTTGGTCTGAGGCTGCTCACCACAGGGAAGCCCAAACATCTAACCAGAGGGGACTGGTCCCGCCGACCATCAGACAACCCCAAGACAAGCAAAGCAGCTCTCACCGCAACACGAATGATGTGGTAAACGTGTGATCTACCACTGATTCTAGTAATATTAATTCAGCAGTTTAGTAGAGTAGCATGATTCTACTTTTATAAACAAAAAACAAATGCACATATTGTAATTATATGTAAAATAAAATTTGGAAGGATATATACCAAACTGTTAAAAAGTGAGTATCCCCGGATGGTATGATTTTCTGCACATCTGTTTTCTCTAATTTTATCTGGTGAACACGTGTCACTTTTCTCGAGAAGAGAGAAGCAATGACCGAGAAGCAAGGGACAGCTCACCTCAGGCAGAAGAGCGAGGACTCCCTGGTGCTGCAGGTCAGGAGGCTGTCCAACAGCTCTGGGACGGTGAGGCCCCTGGCAGGGGCAGGAGGGTCCACCTCCACCTCCGGGAGAGCAGACCTGGACTCACCCAAGTGGATGGCCAGGGCGGCCAAGCCCAGTACCTGTGGGACACTCAAGCTCGGGCCCTGAAATGAGGGGAGGAGGAGGTGGCAGAGCTGCCGATGGCCCACTGCCCAGCTGGGAGGCTGACAAGGCCCTGGAAAAAAGCAGAGGCAGCTCAGGCCCCTGGCATAGTCCACGGGGCTGTGGCCCTCATGGAGCCGGGGCCTACCTGCTGACGGAGCAGCTGGCAAAGCCGGGTGAGCACCGCGGGGAGCAGCCTGTGTCCACACATGATCCTCACAAAGAGGGCGGCCCAGGGGCCCTGCCTGTAGAGACACCGCAGGGACCACTGGCACTGGCCATCCACAGCCCTGCACATCCCTCCAGGCACAGGAGGCCCAAGGAAGGGCTACATTGTTCCCCAAAACAACATAAAGATCCACAGTCTGCTGTGGGGATTCCCCACTTCTGCTGAGTCCCCACTTGATAAAACCTAGCATCACCGTCTACTCCTGCTGAGCTGAGCTCACATCTGCCAGGCCCTGTGGTCTCAGTACAGCAGAAGAGGCAGGAAGAGGCACCCAGGACAGCTCAAAGCCCCCCACGAGACTTCTGAGCCTTTACCTCTCTGGGGGGGTGAAGCTGGAGGCTGCCATTAGGTTCTGACAAAAAGACGTCAGCAGGAGGTCCACTACCTGCGGGGAGAGAGATAGGGCCATCGTCACTGTGAGGTGCTGCATCCATGGACGAGAGTACCACAGAGCAACCAACACTCATGTTCACACCTGACGTCAGCAGCTCCGCTGTGCATCTGAAGAGGAAATTACAACATGTGGTACCAGGGACCCCCATTCCCTAGGGCCATCGTCACTGTGAGGTGCTGCATCCATGGACGAGAGTACCACAGAGCAACCAACACTCATGTTCACACCTGACGTCGGCAGCTCCGCTGTGCATCTGAAGAGGAAATTACAACATGTGGTACCAGGGACCCCCATTCCCACCCTGAGAACATGAGGCCAATGGCCGTCACGCAATCTCCAATCACAAAATTTTATAATAGCAAGCGGGATCAGCAAACCTTGTCTGTAAGGGTCAAAAAGTAAATATTTTAAGCTTTGGGACTGCAGATGGCCTCTGTTTCATATTCTTTAAAAATGCAAAAAGAGGGGCCAGCCCATGGCTCACTCCAGAGAGTGTAGTGCTGACTACACCAAGTTAAGGGTTAAGATCCCCTTACCGGTCACCTTTATTTAAAAAAAAAAAAAAAGTCAAAAGAGTTCTTTGTACACATATAGGCTGTGGTGGGCAGGCCGATGCTGGCACAAAGCCCCTGAACATTCATGTGTGCAGTTTATCTAGCAAAACAAACTTTATTAAGACACAATTCTATGCATTTAATAGTCTTTGCAGAATCTAAGAAACAGCTGACATCTCGGTACCTAATGCTAAGGCGCCCACCCTTACCTTCTGTTCTTGCTGCTCAAGTTTTGGAGCAAGGACACTGAGCTGAATCTTTGACATCTCAAAGCTGCCATCATCCTCACTGTGGCCCAAGGCAGCCCTCACTCTTGCAGAAATCATGGCTATCTGCACAGAGATAACTGCAGAGAAGTCAGTTAGATTAGATGGGGAGGGTGGGAATAGGGAGGTTGGGGGTGCTGACAGGATCTTGCAGAAAACCAGGCAGTATCAGCCACTGACCGTGCCACTCTGGCAGACCCCAGCCCCCTCCTCTGGGCAACACTCCCCACTAACCCTGCTGGCTCTGATGACCCCCACCCAGACAATGAAGACTTGTGTTTTTTCATATTGCAGGTGGCACAGTGGTGAGACTACGGACACACACAGGGGACCTGCTGCCTCGTGACACTGAGCACGTGACATGGGCAGAAGGGGGCCAAATGCTGTATTCCTTCACTGACACAAAGCTCCACTTTTTATTTTCTCCATC